CATGCACACACAGTGGCAGCTGCGAAGGACCCTCCAGTGACCAAGAACTGTAGCCAGTCACATAGTCTCTTCAGACGTGTCCTAAATTAGCTTGTGCTTCGAAACTCAATTTGAGTTTATTAGCCTTGCGGAACACCAGGCAAGAAACTAGCTAATTGGGTTAGCATGTTCCAGACTGTGTTTGTACAGTTAGCAGTTAGCTAGGGCTGGGAATTGCCAGGGACCTCACAATGCGATATTATCACAATACTTATGTGCCAATATGATATGTACTGTGATTCTCACGATTCTATATGTATTGCGATTCGGTAATGTAATTTTATTGCGATTTGATGTTCCAAACATATTTCTCACCATATGTCTGCTGCAGAGAGACAAGAGAGAGTCATGCGAAAGCAAGTTTGGATCAGTCATGGAAACCAAAGATGGAGAACAAGAAGGACAAATAATTGAGTTTTTTTTGCAGGTACATCTGATTAGCACAAAAATAAAGGACTGCTGGAACCATGCTGTAAAGGACAATGTGAACCAGCCTGGTCTCATAGACTAGACGTTAGCATGTTAGCTAACCCTTCCCCTAACCCTAATCCTAACCTTAATCCTTTAGCTAACCCTTCCCCTAACCATAACCCTAACCCTAACCTTAACCCTTTAACCTAACTCTTAACCTGTGATAAATAAAAAAGTATATCAGTTTCACTTAAGGACCAAAGGATTGACAGCCGTTATAGATTGCAAAATAGTTGGGAAGAGATCTTTGACGTACCGATCCCATGGCATAGTGTTTATGAACTGACACGCAAAACGACACCGGATTCAAAAATTAGAATCTTTCAATTTAAATTATTATATACAATTCTTGCTACCAATAGAATGTTATTTATATGGGGGATACAATCTTCCCAGCTCTGCAGGTTTTGCTGTGAAGAGACAGAATCATTAGATCATTTGTTTTGGTTCTGTCCATTTGTAGCTTGTTTTTGGACACAGGTCCAGGAATGGCTAAAGGATTGCAATATTTACCTCGAACTAACCTTGCAGATAGCATTACTGGGTGATCTGAAAAGTCATAGTCAATCAATCAATAATATAATAATACTTTTAGCAAAAATGTTTATTTTTAATTCACAATCTGTAGAAGCAATGAGAATAGAGAGGTTCAGAATTTTTGTGAAACATCACAGTACGGTTGAAATATATATGGCAAATAGAAATCCTATATGGATGGTGTTAAGAGATAGATGGGAGGTATTGAATAGAGTTGAAGGATGGGACTAATAACAAATAACAACAAATAATAACAAAGATAGCTAATAATGTAAGCATACTGTGTCCATAATAAGTATATAGGTTGTATGTTGGGAGCTTTTGGGAAGGAGCACAGTTAGAAAAATATGGCATATAGAAGCAAACCGGATGGACACCATGAAAATGATCAGAGAGGTTGAGAGTAGAAGAAGTTCAGGAGCAAAAAAATAAATAAATAAATATATATATATATATATATATATATATATATATATATATAATATAATTATTGTAAAATTAACTCTGTCCATAAGGTGTAGATAGTAAGTATAGACCGGAAGTAGAGGCCTGGGCATTGTTGTTCACTAATTTACTCCAAGTAGGGAAAGGATGGTGGGGTTGAAAAGTAATAAAGGGGAATATATATATAAAAAATAAAAATAAACATGGGGGATTGGAAGTGATGCAGACAATTACATTGATAGAAGATACAATCTATCTGCAATATTAAGCTGATCCATTCCCCCCAAAAAACTTTTAAAAAACAAACAAACAAAAAAACTTACAAAAAAACTCTTAACCTTAACCCCAACCCCTAACCCTAACCCCTAGCCTAGCTAACGTTTGCCAGCTAACTAACATTAGCCACCTTACCAACAACAAATTGGAATTCGGAACATTTAGCAAATTCATTTTTTTTATGTTGGTGATTAGATAGCTAGATAGCTAGCTTATTTTAATTTTTTTTTTACTGATTGTGATTTATCTTCAATGCTCTAAAATAATAACTTCATAATGTATTATTAATAATCTTCTAACTCATGATATTTGGCTGGCTGGCTACTGGCTTGTGTGGATATTTTAGTATATGGTGGTTAGCTAGAGTCTAGACTACCTGTGTTGATGCTGTCGTGACACATGTGCAACTCCTGACTGAAGAAGGGATGGAGTTGGTTCGGAGGGTCGGAGATGCAGCCAGTCTTTCTGCTTCTCTCTGCTGCGCGTAAGCTATCAGCCAACCAGACCCAATATTGACGATGTAAATAAAGTATTGTCAAGTGGTAATCAAATGTTATGCTGCAGCTGCTGTGGCACTACTGTTAATAAACACTACTGTTGATAAACACTACTGTTGATAAACACTACTGTTGATAAATACTGCTGTTGATAAACACTACTGTTGATAAACACCACTGTTGATAAATACTGCTGTTGATAAACACTACTGTTGATAAACACTACTGTTGATAAATACTGCTGTTGATAAACACTACTGTTGATAAACACTACTGTTGATAAATACTGCTGTTGATAAACACTACTGTTGATAAACACTACTGTTGATAAATACTACTGTTGATAAACACTACTGTTGATAAATACTGCTGTTGATAAACACTACTGTTGATAAATACTGCTGTTGATAAACACTACTGTTGATAAACACTACTGTTGATAAATACTGCTGTTGATAAACACTACCGTTGATAAATACTGCTGTTGATAAACAGTACTGTTGATAAACACTACTGTTGATAAACAATACTGTTGATAAACACTATTGTTGATAAATGCTGCTGTTGATAAACACTACTGTTGATAAATACTGCTGTTGATAAACACTACTGTTGATAAATACTGCTGTTGATAAACACTACTGTTGATAAACACTACTGTTGATAAATACTGCTGTTGATAAACACTACTGTTGATAAATACTGCTGTTGATAAACAGTACTGTTGATAAACACTACTGTTGATAAACACTATTGTTGATAAATGCTGCTGTTGATAAACACTACTGTTGATAAATACTGCTGTTGATAAACAGTACTGTTGATAAATACTGCTGTTGATAAACAGTACTGTTGATAAATACTGCTGTTGATAAACACTACTGTTGATAAACAGTACTGTTGATAAATACTACTGTTGATAAAACACTACTGTTGATAAATACTGCTGTTGATAAACACTACTGTTGATAAATACTGCTGTTGATAAACACTACTGTTGATAAATACTGCTGTTGATAAACACTACTGTTGATAAATACTGCTGTTGATAAACACCACTGTTGATAAACACTACTGTTGATAAACACTACTGTTGATAAATACTGCTGTTGATAAACACTACTGTTGATAAACACTACTGTTGATAAACACTACTGTTGATAAACACTACTGTTGATAAATACTGCTGTTGATAAACACTACTGTTGATAAACAGTACTGTTGATAAATACTACTGTTGATAAACACTACTGTTGATAAATACTGCTGTTGATAAACACTACTGTTGATAAATACTGCTGTTGATAAACACTACTGTTGATAACACACTTGACTGGTGACCGCATCTCAAACCATGCATGTTTGGATACCAGGCGCATGCAATCTCTGTACACAGCAGACTGGGAAACAGGCACAACATGGTGCACAAGAGCTGTACAGGGTAGACCAACAGGCGAAACAAATCAGCGGATGGGGTGGGGGGTGGGGGGAGGCGAACTTGAAGACATCATGACGACTTGGGGGCAGTGGGTTCAGAACAACTACAAAAATTGTATACAAAAAATGATCATTATACCACCACCCAAAAGGGCATGTGGCCAGTGGGAGGGCAAAGTGGCAGGTGCTGGGGCACAAGTTGACTCCTATCTTTCTACATGCCTGGCATCAGGCATGTGTGTAGTCCCAGACTCCCAGCCTTTGGTTCCACTGCCCTGTTGCCCCGCCCAGCCTTACCCTATACCCTGCCCTACCTTACGCTCTACCCTATCATACCCTCTACCCTATCCTACCCTCTACCCTACCGTACCCTACCATACCCTCTACCCTACTCTACCCTACTCTCTATCCTACCCTACCCTGTAACCTACCCTCTACCCTACCCTACCATACCATACCCTACCCTCTACCCTATCCTACTCTACTGAACCCTCTGCCCTACCCTACCTTACTCTCTATCCTACCCTACCCTGTAACCTACCCTGTACCCTACCCTACCACACCATACCCTACCCTATACCATATCCTACCCCATAGCCTATTGTACCCAATATACCCTACCCTTACTTACCTTACCTTACCCTACCTTACCCTACCTTACCCAGCCTAGTTGTCTGTATGACCTCATTGGTCTGGGTGGTGATCTGTGTATCTAATGTAGTCCAGGTGGATAGATGGAGGCTGCAGCACCCAGCTCCTCCCTGACACTGGACCAGCATATATAGTAGGAGAAGGCAGTACAGGTTGGGACAGAAATACAACCAATACATACTGTGTGTGTGTGTGTGTGTGTGTGTGTGTGTGTGTGTGTGTGTGTGTGTGTGTGTGTATGTGCGTGTATATGCCTTTGTATTCACATCACCGTGTTTTATCACCTATCACTGTATGTCCTTGCATCAGTGTATCTCTCACAGTGAGCATGTTTCTTATCCTGTTTCATCACCTACCACTGTATGTCCTTGCATCAGTGTACCTCTCACATCGAGCATGTTTCTTATCCTCTGGCTAGAAGAGAAGGTGTCAGGTAGAAAGAAATGTGCTCCGGAGGAGTAGAGAGTTGTTGAAAATAGCTCCCCCCCTCCTCTTCCCCTCCTCCTCCTCCTTCTCCTCCTCCCTCCCCCCTCCCTCCTTCCAGCCTCGTGCTTCTCCTCGTGGCTCTTTCATCTGAGCTGCCCTATAAACAGCTCTTTTCCATTTCAAAGATTCTACCTGCCTGCTCTTCCTCCTGTATACACTGTGTCAGAGCTGGCTGGATGGGGAGGGGCAGGGCTGTGTCAGAGCTGGCTGGATGGGGAGGGGCAGGGCTGTGTCAGAGCTGGCTGGATGGGGAGGGGCTGGGCAGGGCTGTGTCAGAGCTGGCTGGATGGGGAGGGGCAGGGCTGTGTCAGAGCTGGCTGGATGGGGAGGGGCAAGGCTGTGTCAGGATGGGGAGGGGCAAGGCTGTGTCAGAGCTGGCTGGATGGGGAGGGGCAGAACTGTGTCAGAGCTGGCTGGACGGGGAGGGGCAAGGCTGTGTCAGAGCTGGCTGGATGGGGAGGGGCAGGGTTGTGTCAGAGCTGACTGGATGGTTGAGGGGCAGGACTGTGTCAGAGCTGGCTGGATGGGGAGGGGCTGTGTCAGAGCTGGCTGGATGGGGAGGGGCAAGGCTGTGTCAGAGCTGGCTGGATGGGGAGGGGCAGGGCTGTGTCAGAGCTGGCTGGATGGGGAGGGGCTGTGTCAGAGCTGGCTGGATGGGGAGGGGCAAGGTTGTGTCAGGATGGGGAGGGGCAAGGCTGTGTCAGAGCTGGATGGTTGAGGGGCAAGGCTGTGTCACACACTGGCTATGTGGCAACCCAGGTGGTGGGAATGATCTTATTTGGAGAAGGAGGAAAGGGGAGGTCATAGTGTGTGTGTGTGTGTAAGTGTGTAAGTGCATTTATTAAATGTATTCAGTGAGCAGGAGAAGGTGTGGAAGAGGATAGGAGAGCAGGAGAAGGTGTGGAAGAGGATAGAATAGCAGGAGAATGTGTGGAAGAGGATAGGAGAGCAGGAGAAGGTGTGGAAGAGGATAGGAGAGCAGTAGAAGGTGTGGAAGAGGATAGCAGAGCAGGATAAGGTGTGGAAGAGGATAGGAGAGCAGGAGAATGTGTGGAAGAGGATAGCAGAGCAGGATAAGTTGTGGAAGAGGATAGGAGAGCAAAATAAGGTGTGGAAGAGGGTAGGAGAGCAGGAGAAGGTGTGGGAGATGATAGGAGAGCAGACGAAGGTGTGGAAGAGGATAGGAGAGCAGACGAAGGTCTGGAAGAGGATAGGATAGCAGGAGAAGGTGTGGAAGAGGATGGGATAGGAGAGCAGGAGAAGGTGTGGAAGAGGATAGGAGAGCAGAAGGTGTGGAAGAGGATAGGAGAGCAGGAGAAGGTGTGGAGGAGGATAGGATAGGAGAGCAGGAGAAGGTCTGAAAGAGGATAGGAGAGCAGAATAAGGTGTGGAAGAGGATAGGAGAGCAGGAGAAGGTGTGGAGGAGGATAGGATAGGAGAGCAGGAGAAGGTCTGGAAGAGGATAGGAGAGCAGAAGAAGGTGTGGAAGAGGATAGGAGAGCAGGAGAAGGTGTGTAAGAGGATAGGAGAGCAGTAGAATGTGTGGAAGAGGATAGGAGAGCAGGAGAAGGTGTGGAAGAGGATGGGAGAGAAGGAGAAGGTGTGGAAGAGGATAGGAGAGCAGGAGAAGGTGTGGAAGAGGATGGGAGAGAAGGAGAAGGTGTGGAAGAGGATAGGAGAGCAGGATAAGGTGTGGAAGAGGATGGGAGAGCAGTAGATGATGTGGAAGAGTATATGAGAGAAGGAGACAAAGGGAGGAAGAGGATAGTATAGGCAGTAGAGGGGGAACCAGTCAGCTCTGTGTGTTAGCCTAATAGATATACACAACTCTCAAACGCTGACCTTTCAGTCTCTCTCTCTCTCTCAACAGCACCACCAGACGCCCACGTTCCCTCTACTATCCTCTCCAGCCTGTGCATCCCTTCTTGGGCTTACCGTAGCCAGGAGATCCCCTCCGCTTCCAAGTTCCCACCCGCCTTCCACTTCTCTTTGTGCTGATTATTGGAGAGTAGGACAGGATTTAACCACTGAGCCAAGCTGAAAGGAGAACAGAGAAAGAGAGAGAATGTGTGGGTTATTCATGCCAGTTCTTTGGAGATTGCAGATATAGAATGGAATGGAGAGCAGATGATCCATCCATTTCTATGGCTAATTTCTCTGAAACCTCATCAGAATCCCACTACTGCCATGTAATGAGGTTTAAGGGAGACACTGTATATCGTAATAGGAGCTTATGCTCCTCATTCTCTCTCTATTTTTGGGTTGGGTTCTCTCTCTCTCTCTCTCTCTCTCTCTCTCTCTCTCTCTCTCTCTCTCTCTCTCGTCTCTCTCTCTCTCTCTCTCTCTCTCTCGCTCTCTTTCTCTCCCATTTTCTCTCTCTCTCTCTCCACACACACACACACACACACACACACACACACACACACACACACACACACACACACACACACACACACACACACACACACACACACACACACACACACACACACACACACACACACACACACACACACACACACACACACACACACACACACACCATCTCCCTCTCCTTCCTGATAGAATACAAGGTTGTGTGGAGTCACCTCTTTGAAGAGGAAGGGTTTCAGGTGCTTTTGGAAGTTGGGAAGGGACTCTGCTGTCCTAGCTTCAGGGGGGAGCTGGTTCCACCATTGGGGTGCCAGGACAGAGACGAGCTTGGAGAGAGAGGGGAGTAAGAAGTCAGAGCGTAGGTTAGTTCTATGTGAGTGGGACCAGTGGACTCAATACACTAAGTGAATGAGGAGTGGATGTTGTCAACCTTCTTTTCAAAGTGGTTGACAAAGTTGTCCGCAGAGAGGAAGGAGGGAGGGGGAGGGGGTGGAGTATTAAGGAGGGAGGAGAAGATGGAAAATAGTTTCTTAGAGTTAGAGGCAGAAGCTTGACATTTAGAGAGACAGAAGGTGGCTTTAGCAGTGTATAAAGAGGAAGAGAAGGTAGAGATGAGGGAGTGGAAGCATGCCTCCATTTTCACTCAGCTGCCCGCAGCCCTGTTCTGTTCTCTCAATCACGGAGCAGGAGGGGAGGGCCAATCCGGCCGGGAGGAAAGGGGACAGTGAAAGTCATAGGATGCGGAAAGGGAGGAGAGTAGGGTTGAAGAGGCAGAATCAGGAGACAGGAGGGAGAAGGATTTAGCTGAAGGGAGAGATGATAAGATAGATGAGGAGAGAGTAGTGGGAGAGAGAGAGCGAAGATTGCGACTTTGCATGACCATCCGGGTAGGGGCTGAGTGGCTAGGGTTGGAGGAAAGGGAGACAGAAATGGAAACAAAGTAGTGATCAGAGACCTGGAGGGGGTTCTGGTGAGATTAGTAGGAGAACAGCCTCTAGTAAAGAGGAAGTCAAGCGTATTACCTGCCTTGTGAGTAGGAGGGGACTGGGAAAGGGTGAGGTCAAAAAAGGCAAGGAGGGGAAAGAGAGAGTTGGAAAGAAATTAATCGAAGGCAGACGTCGGGAGGTTGAAATCGCCAAGTACGAAGAGAGGTGAGCCATCGTCAGGAAATTAGCTTATCAAGGTGACAAGCTCATTGAGGAACTCTCTAAGGGCACCTGGTGGGCGATAGATGACAACAATGTTAAGCTTGAGTGGACAAGTGACAGTGACAGCATGGAATTCGAGTCTAAAATGTGCAGACAATTATTTCCTTAGCGCTGGCATCTCATCACACCTGTCTTTGTTTGCATTGTCGTGTCTGCGTCGTACAACCCTGTCATTAGAATTTGATGAAGGGGGTTGATGTAGCAGCAAGTGTGTAGCTATTAATTTTCAGAATGTATCTGCTGCTGCAAAAGTAATGAGTGGCGACTGCTGAAAATAGGTCCTAGCGGTTGTTGGGAATATTGATAAAATATTAGTGATACAAGGTTCATTAGCAGAGTGCATATCTATTTAACTGACAAATTGGTAGTGCTTGACGTGAACTCATTTTTGACTACGAATATTTGTCTTAGATTGAATCTCATCCCTGCTAAGACGCATGGACAGCCACACACACACTCATGCATGAACGCACGTGCAGACACAACACACACACACACACACACACACACACACACACACACACACGTGGGGGCCTAAAATTCATTTCCATTCAAAATCCTATTTTCCCTAATCTCTAACCCTAACCTTAACTCTTAACCTTACCAAAACCCTAACCCTTACCCTGACCTTAATTAACCTGTAACCCTAACCCAAACCCTAAACCTAAACCTAACCCCTAACCCTAA